CATTGTAACATACAATTTATTTTCATGATCAGAAACTTATTTATAAGTTTAATAATTTATGTTCTTGGTTTTCATTTATTGTATCATGTAGCATTTTCTCAAATAAATGTAAGAGGTTCTGAGATTATTATACAACTAGTATCTTTATCCAAAACAAGATTATATAGTTTTGCTGCCTGCCCTTTTTCAGACTTGATGAAAATCTAGTGATAGGAGAGTAAGTGACGTTATCGCATTCATCCATCTAAATTTGTGCCACTCAGCATTTTGCTATACTTTTATTAATTACCTGTCAATTATATTTATAAATGTTGCATACACACACATGCGCGCGCGCACACACACACACATATATGTATATATATGGTATACACACTTAAAAAAATATATATATATATTGATTGCAGGGAGGAAGGGAGAGGGAGAGAGAGTTAGAAACATCAATGATGAGAGAGAATCATTGATCAGCCACCTCCTGCATGCTCCACACTGGGGATTGAGCTTGCATCCCGGGCATATGCCCTGACTGGGAATTGAACCATGATCTCCTGGTTGGTAGGTCGACTCTCAACCACCGAGCCACCCCAGCCGGGCTACACACTTTTTTATTGAAACATATCCATGCTCATTCATTTGTCTGTGGTCCACAGGTAATCTGCTACAGTGGCAAAGTTGAGCAGTTGTGACAGAGACAATGTGTGGTATTCTCATTACTTCCCACTGCTACTTGGTGCAGTACAGATCATAGTTGACACAGTTATAACTCAACAGCATTTTGAGTGCCACACATACTGCTGCCCAAGATCATTTTATTTACTTTTTAATATTAGTCCATGCCTATTAAGTCAAAACAAGGAAATAAAATGGATTTTGAGTGTCATACTTCTAAGTCACAGTGGAGTGTGGATTATTTTGTTATTGAATTAGATGGTAAAGCATTGTGTTTATTTTGCAGTGACACCCTGGCTGTGCTAAAATAATGCAATATATGCTTACATTACCAAATACACATGCCGTTCAATATTACCAGCTCAGAGAATAGTGCTAGTCAGAAAACTGAGAGGATTTAAAATGGAATACCTCATTACAGCGGACTTTCTTCAGAAAAATATAATATGTAAATGAGAATGCAACCAAAATAAGTTTCTGGGTGGCTCATTTCTTAGCCAAGTAAGCAAAGCCATTTACCAATGATGAATTAATTAAGTAGTGTTTCATTATAGTAACTGAAGAAATATGTCCAATGAAAATAAACATGTTATAACAATTAGTGTTTTTTAAAATATATTTTATTGATTTTTTACAGAGAGGAAGGGAGAGGGATAAGGAGTTAGAAACATCGATGAGAGAGAAACATTGATCAGCTGCCTCCTGCACACTCCCCACTGGGGATGTGCCTGCAACCAAGGTACATGCCCTTGACTGGAATCGAACCCGGGACCCTTGAGTCCGCAGGCCGACACTCTATCCACTGAGCCAAACCGGTCAGGGCACAGTTAGTTTTTCAGTGAGAATATTTGCTTGAAGAGCTGAGACATTGAGAGCTACATCATTAGTTGATGAAGAAAACAACTCAGATAATTTCATGTGCTTTCCCCTGACTCTTGATGAGTCAGCAGGTGTGATCAAAAAGTGCTCAGCTGTTGTTTATTTGAAGAGTCGATGCCTAGTTTTAAGTGACTGATGGCTTACTCTCTGTGAATAGCCTGAGTGGGTCAACTACAGATAAGAATATTTTCAAGGAATTAAGACAACACTAATCCAGTACAAACTGAAGTTGAATCTTTTAAGATGTGTAACAAATGATGGTGTTAAAAATATGTGTGGATCAGAAAGAGGCTTAGTTGAACAAATTTACAAAGCATATGGAAATGTTAAGAGTTTTAATCCTATGGTTAGTCATTATATTATCCATCACCAGGTACTTTGTGAAAAATATTTGACTCTAACCAGATGTTATTGAATCAGTCATGTCACCAATGACCTTCATTTGCTCCTGTGGACTTTACCATCATCCATTACATGAATTTTTGTTAGAAATTGAAACTGAATATCTTGACTTGCCCTATCACATAGGACTTTGATGATTTAGAAGCGGAAAGTTTTATTGGTGGTTTTTTTGGTTTGTTTGTTTATTTTTAGTTCAGAGCCCAGATTGTAAGTGAGGATCATTAGTCACTACTAATCAGCAGTCTGGGAGACTGCCAGTATGACTCCTATTTATAGAAAAATTCTCCAGCAGTCACAATATTTCTAAATAATCAAAATTTCCCTCAACTGTTGTTATTGGAAACTGAATTCTCAGTTTTGGATATTAGGTTGTGCTAAACACTTGATAATTTTCCTATTGAATTCAACCTAAAATTACGAGCTAATATAGTGCTTATATGAAGAACATACATGCAGTAAAGTCATTTAGATGACAACTAATATTATTTAAATCCCAGGAAATGTTAGGTTTTTTTATACTTCCTGTGCAGTCCAACATTTAAACATAAAGCAAGATCACCATTCTTATAAAATTTGTAGCTGATGAATTTTCTGAGTTCAAGTTATGTTTCTAGCAGCATGTTTTGGAACTTGGTGCAAATATTTCGACATTTCAAAATCCACTTAATTGTGCAATTGAGGAGTTCCCACCTAACTTTAGAAGTGATGAATGTTCAATAGAGTGACATGCGAAAAAGCATGCAATATAAATTTATAAATGCCAGCTAAGCAGTAAATATATTCAATTGAAATCATATGCTCATGGATTGATAATGGTATTTGGCAATACTCATTTGTGTGAAAAGATATTTTCAAAGATCAAATACATAAAATCTCATTATATATCTGCTTTAGCAAGTGAACATTTGTAGCTGATTTTGATGATAAGCACTAGCTTTGAATTTCAATAAAAGTAAACATTATCACACTAAAAATATTTCTATCTGCATAGTAGACTGTTATTATGCTAAGTTATACTCAATTATTATTATTATATTTTGAATTTGTCAAAATATTTGTGAATATTTTTTCTCCTTTTTCTTATATTGATTTTGTCTCTTGGTGGAAAAGCCTACAATATTTTACTCTCCAGACCTTTATAGAAACTGTTTGCTGACTGTTGTGGGAATGGCACCCATTTTACCTATTAAACTGTCTGAATCAACTTTCTCAATTGGAGGCATGACAAACACTGCAATACTCTCATGTCTTAAGAAGGGCCTTGGTTTTATCAAGTCTGTTTTTGCCTGTTTTCACAGTCTTTGCCCACGTTTTGTTTTTGGGTGAATTATATGAGGCTATGTTAGGGAATACTTTTTCAAAGAGTGGATTGGAAAGATTTGGAAATATGCAAAATACTAGAAGCAGATGCTATGTTAGGAAAGGTTGATTAAGGGAAACAAAGAGGTTACACAGAATGTAGGTAGATTTGTCAGGTTGCAGGTGGCTATCTTTAACAAAAACTTTTGCATGGTTGATTAGAAGTCACCTGTTTAATTTTGGGAAAAACTAATACATATTTGTGCAATGGTATAGAAGGTTATATATAAATTGCTGTGAGATTAATAAAAAAAAGGTTTATTCCATTTATTCTGAAGTAATAAAGATGTCAGCAAATTACTTCAGGCAACTGTCACCCTTATTCCATTTGTTTTTTTTATTAACCCAAATATCACAATTAATGTGACAGTATTGGAAACTTACAATTTTTTAGGAGTTGGGTCTCTGTAAGAGTGCTGTAAGATATAGATGATGTTATCCAGTGGTTTGGGAATACAAAAAGTGTTGTATAAGTACTGAAAACTTGTTATGATCCATAGTAATTATTTTAGGCTTTTTAATCTTTAAATATAGTCAAATCCTTAAAAATTAACTAATGCATGCAGATGATAAAAATCTGCAAAATCTTACAGGAGGGTATACAATGAAAATCAAGGTTCTCCCTCTTTTTTTATAGACCCCATTTCTAGTTTCCAGTGTTAATTCATTAAAAAAAATGTATGTATCTTTTTAGTATGTATATATAAGCACTACATGTATATAAATTGTCTACTTAAATGGGGTTATTCTGTACATAGTTTTTGCCTTGTTCTCTGAACATTTATGAACTCTTAATAGGGTATAGTGTTTTACTGCTTTCATGTAACATGATTATTGAATTTAATTATTTATTGATGGACATTTAAATTATTCCTCAGTTTGTTAATATTGCCAGGGCTGGAAGCAGGTTTTGTGGAGACTGAAGCTTACAAAATTTTTTTTTGAGGAGAGGGGGAACTAGAGCAAATACCATACATATTTACAAATATAAAATTAAGTATAGACCCTTGGAAGGTATCTTGAAAGTGAGGTGCCTGAAGGTTATGTGTCATTAGCGTTATCATAAGTTCACCTTTGCTTATTGAAATTATAAGTAGTGCTACAATAAACATCCCTGTGATTACATCTTTTTGCACTCATTGAAGCATATTATTTTGAATAAATTTTATGAGGTGGAATTAATAAAATGGACTCCCGATCACAGTTATGTACCTAGGTTGCACTTTGGATCCCCCTGTCCCAGTTGGGAGGCAACCAATCTATATGTCTCTCTCACAATGATCTCTCTCTCTCTCTCTCTCTCTCTCTCTCTCTCTCTCTCCCTCTCCCTCTCCCTCTCCTCCCTCTCTCTTCCCTGTTTCCACTCTCTAAAAATCAATGGAAAACATCCTTGCGTGAGGATTAACAAAAAAACAACAACAAAATGGTCTGCTTTGTACCATTCAATAAGATAGCCACTAGCCGCATGAGTCTGTTCAGTCCTTAAAATGAGGCAAATGCAACTGAGAAACTGAAATTTTACTTTACTTTAAATTAAATTACATTTGGCTACTGTTTTGGGCATCACAACCTTAAATGTCTGAGTGTGTGTGTGAGTGTGGTGTGTGTGTGTGTGTGTGTGTGTGTGTGTGTGTGTGTGAAGTGAATGTAATTAATGTATGGATTGATAATGAGGAAACTGTTCATTCTAGGTTGAAAACTTTAGCAGAGGAACTTATGCAGACACAGCAAATGCTATTAAACAAGGAGGAGGCTGTCCTGGAGCTAGAGAAAAGAATTGAGGAATCTTCTAAGAGCTATGAAAAGAAGTCTGAGTAAGTAAAACAAAAATAACTTGAAGGAAGAAAGTGCAATTGGTAATATTTTACTAAATACTCCATTTATGTGTCTTATGGATTTAAAATTTCTAGAAGCTGAAATTTCATTTTAAGTATAAAACTTAGAAACTTTCGAGGACTCTAGAAAAATAGTATGTGTTTGTTAATATAGTGTATAGGTTATATATATATCTTAATATTTTACATTTAAATACTTTTCTGAAAAATCCTGTTAAAAGTTGTCTTTATTTTCTCCTCATCACTGGCCACAAGATTCATTGTGAATTCCTTGTTAAGAAAGTGACAGGCCAGTTATATGTAGAAATTGGCTTCTACTGTGTTAGAAGGAAGCAAACATATTAAAAAATAGCAGTCTGCTTCACCTGTAAAACTCATACTGAGATTAGAGGGGTCTATACTTGCTCTTACTTTCACAACTTTTCAAATATTTACTTTTCTCAAATCTGTGATCTCCTTATCTCTCCCACTAAAGTCAAAGAATATCTCTCCTACATTGTAGAAAGAGTTAGAATCATCAGGTGGCAATTCTGATTTTCTGGGACTAGATATCCAAATCCACCACAGTTGTTCCCATTCTCTTTCCTTCCATAGAAGAACTGCTCCTTGTTCTAAGCCTGTTTCTTGTGTCTGTCTCTTGTATCCCATCATCTCTTCCTTTTTTTTTAGAAAATTTGCATTACTTTATATATTATGTCCATCTTTTTCTCTCAACAGGTGATCTCCTTATCTCTCCCACTAAAGTCAAAGAATATCTCTCCTACATTGTAGAAAGAGTTAGAATCATCAGGTGGCAATTCTGATTTTCTGGGACTAGATATCCAAATCCACCACAGTTGTTCCCATTCTCTTTCCTTCCATAGAAGAACTGCTCCATGTTTCTAAGCCTGTTTCTTGCGTCTGTCTCTTGTATTCCATCATCTCTTCCTTTTTTTAGAAAATTTGCATTATTTTATATATTATGTCCATCTTTTTCTCTCAACAGCATCCTATGTTACTTTTTAAATATGCCTGTCTTTTAAAAAAATGTTTTTATTGATTTTAGAGGAGCAGAAGGGAGAAGGGGAGAGAGATAGAAACATCAGTGAGGAAGAAACATGAATCAGGTGCCTCCTGCACTCCCCATACTGGGGATGGAGCCAGGCTGTGCCCTGACCTCTGAATTGAACTGGTGACTTCTGGGTACATGGGATGATGCTCAACTAATTGAGCCACACTGGTTATGGCTTTGCTTTGGTCTTGATCCTAAAAATAATCTTCACCTCTCTGCCCACTCCAGATAACTCTTTCTAAATTTTCATAGTTCCTCTGTCGTTGCTTTCTGTTTTCTTAGTCAAACTTGTTCCAAGAGTAATTATGCACAAGCATTTTCTCAACTCCCACTTAGTTCTCAACCTGCATATATCTGGCTTCTGCCCATTACTATTGAAATAGGTATGTGTAAGATCACCAATGATCTCTACATTACTAAATTTAGCAACTGTTTTACTTGATCTCCTCACAGTATCTGACTTTATTGACTTTATGTTTCTTCTTTTCTTTCCTTTTTAAAAAAATGTATATATTGATTTAAGAGTGGAAGAGAGAGGGAGAGAGAGAGACAGAGAAACATCAATGATGAGAGAGAATCATTGATCGGCTGCCTCCTGCACGCCCCACACTGGGGATCAAGTCTGCAACCCGGGCATATGCCCTTGACCCGAATCAAATCTGGAACCCTGCAGTCCGCAGGCAGATGCTCTATCCATTGAGCCAAACCAGCTAGGGCTATGTTTCTTCTTTTCAATTGGCCTTTGGGACCCAATATGCCAGATCTTACTCCTCTGTTTCTGGCCACTCTTTCTTTATAAACCTGTTTTCCTCCACTTAGCCAATCCATTTTGGAGTTACTAAAGGCATGGCCCCAGGTTATGCCACCCACCTTCCTGAACTCTATCTCTAGATGCTCGCCTAAAGATGACCCATATTTATTACTTCCAGATTTCTCCTCTGAACTGTCAGGCCATGCAGTCATTTGCCTACTTGACAGGCCTACTTGGGTGTCTTAAAAATACCCTAAATTTTCTGTGTCTGAGGCTGAATTAAAAATTTCAATCCAACCCAGTTCAATCCAACCTAGTTCACTCTTAGTATTCCTTATTTCAGTGGATGGCAGCACCATCCATCCTATGATACAACTCAGCATGGTAGGGGCCTGCACCTTTCATTTATAGGATGGCTCTCATTACAGCGTGGTGTTAAATATCATATTGGAGTTACTGAGCCTCTCAGAGGTGAGAATAGAAATTTAAGTTACTCTGGGCATTCCTTTAATTTGAAAAATTTCACTTTTGTATCACTAAATCTTCCATTTGGATTATAAAAATAAAATCTATCAACCATTGCTAATATTACATTCAAAATTGAATTATCTTTTGCTTTTTTCTATTTGCAAATAAATTTCTTCCCATGTATACAGTAGACAAAGCAGTTCTACTTTTTACAGCTTTTAAATGAACACATTGTAAATGACTCCTGTTTTAAAATTTAGTGATTATAAAGAAAGACAATAGGGTAGCTGACTTTCTCACCCGTATGTATGTTTAGTAAGCCAATGAATGTTATCTTTATTTTGCTTTCTGTATAATTGCTCATATTTTAACTTTAGGAGAATTTAGATAACTTAGAATCACATGCCTAATAAGTGGTAGAAAACACATGAGTCTCTGACTCAAAAGTTTCTATCTTTTTTGATCACAGAATTTGCTTGATCTTATGATTTTAATAGTGCTTTTAGGAGAATAAATTAGAAGGGATAAGTATGTCAAGCAATACAGAGGGTGAGTCTTGTTTAATCCAAGTTCTATTAGCCCTTCGTTACCATGGGAGTTTTATTGCTAGCTTCAATAAAAAAATCTTAAAAATGTTAGGTATATTTACATAAGGAAATAGTCATTGTGGAATCTCATTAATTTATACATTAGTAGGGTTGAAGTTTGTCTTTGAATAATATGTTAAAGTATTTTGCTAAACAAATAGTCTTCAGGGATTCTGGGGAAATGTTTGATTTTCAATTTTGTGTTTCCTTTTTGTGTGTATATGTGTGTATATATATATATATTTAACTGCACTTAAATAATTAAAATCAATTTTTATTCAGTTTTAAAAGTAGATTTAGAATTATTTTTCCTCTGTAACACATTAGCTTCATATACAATGCTACTTGAAAATAACAAAACAATAAAATGACATTTTCTCACAAATACTATTTATATTCTTAAATTAATGGAATCATACTGAATTTTTGCTTACCATTATTGGATCTATTAAAATATAATATAATAAAGGACTAAAGTTAAAACCTACAAATTTGGATTTAAGTAATTCTCTCTAAAACATCTTATAGTAACAGTGACAAAATATATAAGAAATCATTTGATAGTTTTGATTCCTATAATAGAGTGATATGAAGTGAAAAGTGAACTTAGAGAATGATTTTTCTATAACATGAATTTCACACAAGAACAGAATTTTAGCTCATATAAATAATGTAGCCCTCAGTTGAAATGTTGCAGAATTTTATTTAAAAAAATAAGGTAAAGAGAGTAAAACCAACCACTAAAAATGGTATGATTTTAATACAACATAAAGCACCACTCTAGTGTGTATATCTTTACTCATTACTTTTAGAGTATGTTTACTCAACTGGAAATAATATAAATCTTCACTTGATTTATGATCCTTGACTACTGATTAGAACATAGTTTATGGGAAAATATACCAAGCATATGTCTTTTATGACTCAATGGCATAAAGAGGTAGACTATTACTATTGGTTTTAGTGCTTGGTTTTAGTTTCAAAAAGAGAATGATTAATTTTGTACCAATATCACCTAGTACTTAAAAATACTGTCTACATCATAAAATCATAACTCCTAGAGCCATGCAGGATCTTAAGAGAGTTTTTGATTCATAATTGCCTTTCAAATTATATGATATCTGCAGCCCAGAAGTTTTAAGAGATTTGCAAAATGCCACATCTAGCCTGTAGTGAAGGTAAGAATTGAGCCATCTAAAATATTGTTCTAGTCTGAAAATTCAGGGTACTTTTAATTTGGACTCAGCACTTTTAAATTATGTGTATTATCAAAAAATGTGCTCTGTAAATAGGAAATCTATTCAACAATATTTTTTGCATGTCTGCTAAGTGCTGTGAATACAATGAAAGGTAAGACATGCATGGCTACATGTCTCATGAAGGTTATACTTTTGTGGAATGCACCAATACAACACAAGAAATTAACAATTGTGATAATTGCTGTGAAACAGGTAGTTCTGATAGAACAGAGGAGGTACTAAATGTAGGAGGCCAGGGGTCTCCTGGGAAATGGCATCTTTGCTGAAACCTGGATGATGGAAGGTGCCATCCACATGAAGAGGAGATTGAGATAGCGATAAGTAGCACATGAATAGGTTCTGATCCCTTCCATTTTTAAAATTTACTTATGGCTTTTTATGCATCTTGTGTTATTTAATCATGTATATACTATAATTTTCTTCTTATTAAAATATACACATAATAGTTTGCTCAGTGGTGTTATAAGCATATAAAATAATTGTATAGTGCATTGTATAGTGATTACAGCAATACTTTAAAAAAACTATTGAACAAAAGCAAGATGTTAATGTATGTGAAATTGTCATTATACATAGAGCTTAATAGGATTAATTGGAAGAAGCTGGTATTGCTCATTAACTTCATTATAAGACATAAAAATTGACCACAGTCATATAATAGGGCATATGCTGCCCCTGCAAGTCTCATTGTTTTAAAAACCACTAAAATAAAAACCAAGAAATTTATATTTTAACCTAATTCTTGGTAGTAGGATAGTATTTCAGAATTTCTGATTACAATGTTTAGGAACCCAGGGCATATGAGACGACAAAAGCCTCACCTTACCAGAGGAAGCATGATGACAGCAACAGTGATAGACATTTTCAATTAAATTTTTAATTTTGAGGTAATTATAGATTTCTGTCTATGTGTATGACTTAATAGAGGTCCTGTGTACTTTATATTCACTTTGCCCCAATGGAAGCATTTTGGAAAAGTATCATTTAATATTATAATTATAGATATTGACTTTGATACAGTCATGACTTAGAACGTTTCATCACTGCAAGCATTCCCTCATATTGTACTTTTGTAGCTACACTGCTTTCCACCCCCTCCTAAGTCCCCAGTATCCTTTAATCTGTGCTCCATTTCTACAATTTTGTCTTTCCAAGAATGTTATATAAATAAAATTTCACTGAATGTAGCCTTTTTGCATTAATCAATTCTCTACCTTTTTGTTGGGCTAATCTCCTGAAATTCATTGCCATATAATTGAGGAGATTTCAGCTTTCTTAGAGCATCATTGAGGTTGCTTCCTACCCAATTTAATTGGAATGGATTTTCAAAATATTAATCAGCATCATATTTATAAATAAAAATCTTTCAGTGTGAGTTCCTTCTGCCTACGCTTACCCAGTTTTATGTTGATCCTTTTAAGTTCTATTTGAAGAAGGTAACATTCTGACCTTATTCTCCAACTTTGAAGCTTCCTCTATTGACAATCTATTGTCTCTTACATATAAGTAGCTTACTTTCCGTAGTGCATGGAACATTTCTTTAAGATATTAATATACTATGTATGACAGTGTTTCCAAAAGTGCTCCCCACTACCTGTGTTTTCTTTTGTGTGTGTGTGGCTTAAATATGGTGAGTTAGTTTGAAATTTCCACTAGGGGCAGCCTCCAAGGGGTAAAAAGTCACAATAAGGCACCATGTGGCTATGTAGTTCTCCAAAGGAGGGATTGGAATATTTTTTATTTTTATAGTGATGACATTGGAAAGATTTGGGGACTTATGCTCATTCCCTTATTAACAGCTCAGCCCTCAGTGTTAGTTAGAACAGCTTTCCCCAACTCTGAACACACACTTCTCCCAATATACATACAACGTGGTCCCAGGCTGTCACCTTGATTTGATTTATTTTACTACAGGTGCAGATTGGATTCTAGCTATATTCCATGTGAGATATGAAGTACATTTAAGATTCTTCTTCAGTCATGCTAATTCATTTTAGGCCCTATGCGTCTGGACTTCAGTGTCTGTACTCTGTGAGGTAGATGGTTTAGCTGTAAAATAAAATGAATGCTGTAGACCGCAATATATTTGAAAGTATCTTGAATTTGATTTGAGCCTCCAAACATTTTCTTCCATTTTGTTAATGCTACTCCTATGATGACTCAAAATCTGTTTAGTTTCCTAATTCTTCTGATTCTGTAGGATTCATAAAGATGAAAACAAAAGCATATATAAGATTTCTTTATAAGGTTTCTTTAAAGTATGCATTTCTTAAAGAAGTCAATACTTAATGTGTTCTTTTTTAGTATTGTGCTGCTAATAAGCCAAAAACAGACACTTGAAGAGCTGAAACAGTCTGTGCAGCAGCTGAGGTGCACTGAGGCAAAGTTTACGGCACAGAAAGAATTACTAGAGCAAAAAGTGCAAGAAAATGATGGAAAAGAGCCACCTCCGGTAATAAATTATGAAGAAGATGCACGGTCAGTTACATCTATGGTAAGCCAAAGAGTAATCAAACCAGAAACCAGAAGAGTGGTATGTAGGTAATAAGTGAATACAAAAGTCAATTCTCATTTCTATAACAAATTGTTGCTCTTGTTAATATGCAGGTCCTATTAAACTTGTTTGTAAATGCAAAATAGACTTGTCAGTCACCTTCAGGTCACCTGGTGAGCACTTTCAGGAACCACCTGTAGAGTCAGAGGAAAAAGCTCTTCTCTTGCCTTCAGAACTGAAAACAAAGACTGCAATTGTTTTTATTCCTGGGAGACAGCAGGAAGGTAGGGTGTACTTCTTAAGATAGAAGTAAGAAATAAGGAGAAAGCTATTTATTAATTTTTTTCTTAAGAACAGTAGAATATTATTTATCTGAGATGTGTTTATTGTTTTCACAATAAGATTTTTTCTTATAAATATCCTTAAACTACAATAAACACATTTAAATCCACCAACTAGAAATTTAACTTATTTTATAGTTTTATTGACTGTTTAAGAATACCTAGCACAATACTTTCCCTGTCTCCCTTTATTTCTTCATTCCTTTCTTCTTTCATCTTATGTTGGTGGTTCTCACCAAGGGGCAATTTTACTCCTCCCCTCTATCCCCACCCCAGCTCCAGGAGAAATTTGGCAATGTTTTTATTTATTTATTTTTAATTGACTTTGAGCTTCACAGTTAGTAATTGCTATTGGTATCTAGTGTGTAGAGTCTGGTGATGCTGCTAAACATTCTACAGAGCACAGGACAGCCCCTCAATGCACACACCCAACAAAAAATTAACCCAAAATATCAGTAGTGGCAAGGATGGAGAAGCCTGAGCTATGTCCTTGGCTTTGTCTGTGGAGAGCTGGGTGCAGTCCATATAGAGGACCATCATAGATAATGATACTGTAGTTTATATTTTAGTAATTTTTGGTTCATGTGGTTCTGAATAGTATAGTTTGAGTGTCAAACAGATTCAGATGTCTTACATTGTGAATTTTGAGTTACAATTCTTTGTTCTCTTTTACTATCCTCTCAGATAAAAAGGACCTCACTTTCTTGCTTATGATTCTTGATAACTATCTGGCATGTGCAATCTTTCAGAGGAACGTCTAAAGTTTTTTCTTTTATCAGGTTTTTGAAAACCTTAGCTAGTAAACATTTTGTTTTCTGAGTATAGTTAATAATATGTCCTTGTCTCCATGTGGGTGTAGAATTGGTTACTTAATAGCTTGATTTAGTGGCAGATAGGTTAAAACTGGCCGTCTAATTAATTTTAAATAATTCTGTGTGCATATGACCCCTGTTGGCATTATTATTATGATAGGAAAAGATAGTTATTCACAACACTAGATGTAGCATATTCTGATAATTACAACCAAAAACTTGACTTTGACATTTAAAATATACTGGTTCATTAATTCCTATTTATTAAAAGCTTATGATCATTTAGACGTTTTTCTTTCATAATCATTAAAAAGAAACCTTTTAAACAAATCCTATCTAATAAGGAGGGGATATGCAAATTGACCACCACTCAGTCACAAAGATGGTGGTCCCCTTAGCCACAAATGGCAGCGCCCAGTCCCCTCAGCCCTGCCAGAGCCCCCCAGTCCTTTCAGCCCCGTCAGAAGGGTGACAGGCACGTGGTGCGGCTGGACCTGCCCTCAGCCCCCCAGCCGCCAGGGTCGGCCCGAGGCACAGGCAAGCCTCAGATGTCGGCCTCCCAGCTGATGCCAGAGGAGCAGGCAAGCCTTGGATGGCGGCTGCCCAGTGCCCAGGGCTGCCTGAGGCTCAGGTAACCAGGGCAGGCCGAAGCTTGCGCTGCCAACAGTGGCAGCAGCGGAAGTGTGATGGGGGTGTTGCCTTCCCCTGATGGCTGGGTTGCCTCCTGCCCCTGAGGGCTCCTGGACTGTGAGACGGGGCCGGGCTGAGGGAACCCCCTCCTGTGCATGAATTTTCATGTGCACTGGGCCTCTAGTGAATAATGTTTCAGAGAGAATGTATAGTACATTTTAAATTATAGTATATGCTTCCTCGCACTTTCACATTTTCTCTTGTAACAATTTATTCAATAATGATAATACCTTGTAAATTTTTACAAATTGATGCCAGATATTTCACTTTACCCATTTTATTTTAAATAATTAAAATGCTAATTATAAATATATCAGGTATTTATTGAAACAATGACTTTAATAATTTTTTAAGGAAATTACAAAGGACTAATGTAATATATGTAGTTCAAAGTAATAAAGTAACATTTTATAAATTACTCATTTCCCAAATTGATGCCAATTAATGTGATTTTTACAGAGTATTTTATAAAACAAGTAGAAATATTTGCAATGCATAGTTCTTAAAACTTAGTAATACTCCCACCTATATAAGTGAACTTTTTGCATAATTAAGCATTATTTTATGAATACTATTTTAATAAAAGCCTGAAATTAACATTAGCAGTTCTATTGGTATTTCTTCCTTATAAATTTCATCTTTATAAGTGGTGCAAAATTTCAACAAGAGAAATTTAGTTGAATGTAGGAAGAATTGAAAGAACTAAAAGTTAAACTATGAAATCATGGAAAATATTAGGTAAAAGAAAGAGAGACAGTTAATTATTCCATATGATCGTAATTAAAGGCACTGTTAACCAAACACTAACTCTGTGGTGGTGAATGCTGCTATGGAAGAATGCCTTCAGGACTGTACCACTGGAAAGCAATGGGGCCTGGATTGTGCATTTTTATAGATATTCCCAGGTGTGTAATCAGGGTTAGAATTGTATAGTCAGGTTAATAAATGTAGTGATTAAAATATATATATATATATTGATTGATTTCAGAGAGGAAAGGAGAAGAAAAGAGAGAGAAACATCAATGATGAGAGAGAATCATTGATTGGCTGGCTTCTGAATGCCCCCTACTGGAGATCGAGCCCAAAACCCGGACATGAGCCCTGACCGGGAATCAAACTGTGACATCCTAGCTCATAGGTCGATGCTCAACCACTGAGCCATGCTGGCCGGGTGATGGAGTGATGTTTATTATGGCAATATAATTTGATGAAAATTAAAGCCCATCTATTAATTTACAGATATCTTTAAAAAATTGTGGCAGCAGATAATATAATCATCTCTGTCAGGAAGATATGCTTTCTAATGCTGTCTTTTTTCACCATATCTAATTTTGCCCAAAATACAAAGGAGAAAATAATAAATACTAAGTATCACACAGTAATTCTCTATTGTCTGTGAATAAGTATGTTTCATTTATTGGTTTTTGAGCACCTGTTATATGTAAAGCTCATTTCTAGATGCTGTGGATACATCAGTGAATAAAACTAATAAAAAAAATCTCTCTTAGAGATTACATTCTGTAGCGAGTGGCTTAGTAAATAAAATAAACTGTGTATTTATAATGGAAGATAATAAATGCCAAGGGGTAGAAATGGAGCGGGGTAGAGGGTTTGGGGTTTAGAGGGTCATAGGTTGGGACACAATTTTAAATGCAAGTCAGGATAAGCATCACTGAGAATGTGACATTTGAACAGACATGAACAGCTAGGCTGTTACTTAATTTCTGGGGAAAGAACATTACAGTCAGAGGGTGCATTTTTTACAAAGGCAGTAAGATAGGAACATGTTTGGACTGTTCAGAGTACATCAGGAGGTCTGAGTAGAGGGAAAGGCGAGAATATAGGGAGTGAGATTAGAGAAGTAATGGAGAACCTTGTAGACCATGATTAAGGATTATAACTTTTCTCTGTATGAAACGGGGAGGCATTGGTGTGAGGGGGTTATAATAGAGGAATGGCATGCTCTGACTTTTAATTAAGTGGATCATTATAGCTGTGTTGAGAATATACTTAAGGGGAGCAAAGATGGAAGAAGAATGCTAACACCGGGTATAGAAAATGACAGTTTGAGCAAGGATGATAGCACAGAAGTGTCAGGGACCTTTTAGCTCCTGAATATATTTTGAAGGTTGAGCCTATGGATAAATTGTGGAGTATGAGAGAGAAGAGTCAAAGATGTCTTTAAGATTTTTAGCAGGAACATTGGAAGAATAGAATTTGTTTCAAGTGCATGAATAGACTACACATTGAGCAGCTTTGATGAGGAAGAACAAGACTCCAATTTGTCCATAAAAACAAATATTTGGGCCTGGAGTTCAGCCACCTGATTGTAGGCATTAATGGTATTTAAAATCATTTCACTGTACGAGGTCATCAAGTGAGTGAGGACAGATAGAGGAGAACAGAGAAACAAAGGCTGAGGCACTGCAAGGTAGGGATCTTGGAGAGAAGGAATCAGTAAGAAACTGGGGAGAGACCAGTGAGGTAGCAGAAAAAAACAAAATTAATGTCCTTGAAATGTTTTAAGGGGAAATGAGTTTTATAATTTGGGACATGCTGAGTTAAGGCAAAACAGTTGTATTGACTGGAGAAGTTTTCTGAACTTTTAATATCAAATGCCCAAGAGAGGAAATACAGCATGGAATGGAGTGCCTTTGGAAATACTGGCCTGACCACTCTTCAAAAAGAGTCCTGAAAGGACCACCATACAGTGAACCATCCTTTGGGAAATGCTGAGTTAGAAGGTAGATCCTTTCTTATCTAATTGGGTTATGGATAGATTAAGTGTGCTGATAATTTAGAAGGCATCTTAGTTGTCTAAATGCTCTAGAACCCAAGGATTATTTTCTCTCATTCTTCAGTTATAGCTCCGCAGGACAGAAGAATCTGCCTTCTGGGGCAAATTGAGAGGGTGAACTCTTTGTTAGCTGCCCTTGAATAATGGTGGAAATACCAGACTTTTCTGATCCCTGAGTCAACATTGGCTGATGTTCCTATTTATTTAATTTATTTATTTGATTATTGAAAAATATCACTTTCCTTCATGTTTGATTTTAGCTTTCTAGTTGTAAGATTATAATTTTTCAATCAGTATCTGTTGAATTGAGGAATTGGACTTCCTTTTCACTGCAGAGTAATCTAGTTATTTTACTTTATA